TTTGTAACTCTGTATTGTCTGTATTGTGCTTGTGATATGTTGTAAAATGTTGTATGTCTGTTAATGTTTCCCTCCTTTTATCTTTAAAATAAAAAAAAAAAAGAGAAGAGCAAGTTAGGGCGGATGGAGAGAAGGATGGAGGGAGACACACACAGGAACCCAGAAGTACAAACAGGCAAAGGCAGAGCAAGAGAGCAGTGCAGAAACAAAACTGCAAGAGCTGGAGGGCAGCAGTGAGAGCTGGAGACACAAACAGGGGAGACAGAGTCAGCAAGCTGCAGGGACACACGGGGTCCAGGAGGTAGAGTTGATGGGGAGAGAAACTGAGACCCTGATGAGGCCCCAGGACAGTGAAAACACAGAGATCCAAGGGCCAAAATGGAGGGATCTGCCATGAGAAAGCCAAGCACTCAAACCATAGCTTGTAGGCAGGCAGGGACGGTCCTGCCTCTGAACTGCCAACTCCCTCCCCCCCTCCCCGACCCCTTGGAAAGTTCCTTGAGGAACTATACTCCAGCCTGCATCTCCTTTTCCAGCCTTGGCTGCATTTGAATTGGAGGGTGAGACTGGGCATGGATTTGGGCGCTTGGGCACCATTCGAGTTGAGGATGGCGTTGTGCTTTGCAGTGGGGCTGGAGATCCTGAACGCAGTCACCAGTCTGTTCTTACAGCTGTGCTCCTTCTCCCTGGACCCTCCCAGTGTCCCTCCCAGTGTCTCTCCATCCCTCCTGTCAACATGCTGACTCTGCATCTCTCCGCTGGTTCCTCACTTCTCCCTGGCTCTCCCTGCCTCTCTGTGTGGCTGCTTTACCCTGTGTCTCCTTGTCTCCTTCTCTCCTCCCAGGTCCTTCTGTCTGTTTCGCTTTGCACCTGTGTCTCCCCATGGTCCTCTGAGTCTCCTTAATTCCTGCATGACCTTCTGCCCTTTGTGGGTATTAAGCCCCACATCGATGTTAAACCCTGCCTCCCTGTTCCAGTCTCTTACCATGCAAGAGCACTTGCAGCCCTCCCCACCAGCACAGAACATACTGTCGTGGTAGGATGAGTTAAGCATGAATCTGCAGTGTTGCTCAGAAACCACAGGAACAAGCGCACACCGCAAATCCAAAGGGTGGTCGTCTGAAAGAAAGGACACCGGGTCAGAAACACTCTGAGCAGAGACACCACAGGTATCAGTGAGTCCAGAGACAGGAACAGCAAAACTCACCATCTAATAGCTGACCCCAGCCGGTGACCCAGCACCTGGTTCCAGGTGTCGGACATTCTGATGTGATGAAGATTGGCCAGATGGTGTCTGATATCCTAACTGGTCTGTTCAACTTGATGAGCATGAGGTCACTACCGTTCCTAGGTGTGACGTATTGTGGGTGCTTCACAGAGAAATTGGCCTTGATCATCTGGGTGCCTGGTTTATACCAATCAACAGTTCTGCGGAGGCCCAGCCCAATGGTGTAGGATCTGAGGGTGATGGGATAGTCAGTATAATAGTAAGTGCATCCTCTGTAGAAGCCCAAACTCCAATGAAGGCCCAAATCCAATCTGAGCCTCATCCCTGCACTCATCCTCAACCTCAGCCCCATCTCAATTGCCATACCTGCCCTACACACCACCCAGACCCATTGCTGGTGCCATCCTCATCCACACTTCGATGGTGTCCAAATCCCATCTGAATCACCATCCCCAAATAGCCCCAGAACCTGACTCTTAGGGTTGAGGCAAGAGAAGCATTTTCTAAGATATTAATTGGGGCAGCCACTAATCTAGAAAAAGCAAGATCAATAGTGGCTCAGCATCATATTTATAATTTCAAAATGAATGCAAAAAGTCCATGATGCACAAAACATCAGCAATTGAAGGGAAGACAGCCTTTAAGATGCACATCACCATCACCCCATACCCGCAGGATCCTGTTGATTTCAAATGTGGATATTTTGTTTGTCATGGATGTTTGCATTGTGTTAATTTGTTGAAGAGAAGACATTAAGATATTTCTCCGTATGGGGGAGCTTTTGCCTCGTCTCTTCCTATGCCTTGCCCTGCAGCAAAGTGCATAAATCCGACCCCATCCACATGGCTCTGTCTTCACCTGTTTCCCTCACCTTGCCCGAGGCCCCTGGCAGCTGGCGACAAGAGATTCTTTGTCCACACCATTTGGTTCCTAGAGGCTGAACTGAGATGCAAGTCCCCCTTTCTCAAACCAGTTACTTCTCAGAACTTTTAGACTCAGGAGAGCCCCAGAGTCCTGTGTGGATTCTCTCTCCACATGTGGGATCCTTCAGACCCAGCACAGAGATATAAAAGTTCCTCCAACCTGGGGAAGAGGATCTCCCAGCCAGGCCTCCTCTTTCAATGTAGCTCCAGCCTTGCTCCAGGGCTAGTGTTTTAAAGTCTCAGCCCTTCCATGTCCAGCCTCTGGGGCTGGGGCTCACTCCCTGTCCCAGCCTCTCTGCAGTTTTGGGACACCACTAAGGGCCATGGCTGGGCCCTCTGTGCTCAAATGCAGCCTGGGCCCTGCCCCTCACTGCAGTGCAATGTCAGACCCTAAGCCCTGCCTGCAGTGCCTGCCCAGGAGAAGCCATGCCCTACCCCTCCCTGTCCAGTGCACCCCCCCACCCCCTCGCAGTAACCTCTACTGCATTTGCTCACGGTTTCCAGCAGTGCGCAGCTGACAGCACCCACTGCGGATGCACCAGAACTCCAGAACAGTAGTGGACATAATTGTCAAACAGTACGGCTACCCAGGGAGGGGAGAATGGAGGGCAAGGAAAGCCCTCAGAGATGCGTTTGCTGACAGGGCGGAGCCCATCTGGGATGTCAGTGCTGGTTTCTTTCAGATGAATGTCTGCTTCTGTGGGCAAAAGGAGAACAGAGTGGATGCAGTGGATGGGTGGGTGGAATCCGGTAGTAGATCCAGTAGTGTATCCAGTAGGGCTCAGGTGGGTCAGGTTTAGGAAGACCAAGGGTATATGAGGAGGGCCAAGGAGGGCCAAGGTCTGAGGCTCCTCCTCTGGGGTTCAGGCAGGAGAGATACAAGGCCAGACACCTCCTCTGAGCCTGAAGCTTCACACTGCACCACCACCTCAGTGGCATAGACCCAGTGTCACCACATGCACACTTTCCCAGGAGGAGCCTCTGTGCCAAGCAGAGAATAGAGGCAACCACTCCTGGGATTCTGTTTGCTGGACACTCAGGATGCACAGCCAAGCACAGAGAACAATCCCTGGGGGAACACTTCTTACCCTGCACCCTAGCCCTCTGCAGGGCCACCTGCTCCAGGGGCTCGGGAGTGGTGACCTCCCCAGGGAAGGAAGCAGCTGCCACACTTCTCTGCTAGCTGGTGCAAGGGGTCCTTGCCCAGTGCTGTCCCTCTGCTAATTACAACTAACAACTGGACACGCGTCTCTGAGCCAGAGTCTGGAGAGGACGGGCCTTTGTACACTACTATCTAACCTGCTTTCAGAGTACCGTTGAAGGTCGGGAAACTGAGCATAGACTCCAGGGGCTTTGCCCAGGTAAGAAGTAGCAAGGCAGAGTTTGGAACCAAGTTGCTGTCTCTCTTCAAGCTGTGTTTCTACACTGATGTCATGCCATTTTGGGTGCACACAGGTTAGCACACATCCTGAACTCAGATACCTGTGGCTGTGTGGATGATGCATCCCAGGAAACAGAGCCAGAGGAATTCTGCTGTGGTCTCCATGTCAGCACCTGCTGTGGAAGAGACGCGGTGAGTCTGGAGCCTCCTCCACCATTTCAGGAGCAGCTGGAAAGGACCCTGTCCAGCCTTGACTCTGACAGCCTTCCTGAGGAACAGCCACATAGGGCAGAGTTTCTCTCCCTCTGCGTTGATGATATTTAACCATGATCTGTGGGGAATGGACCCAGGACACCCTCAAGCCCGTAGTGCCACAGAGCCATCCCTCTGTCTGCTGATGACTGGTGGCTGGTGAGCTTTTCTGAGAAGCCCTTCCCCATGTACTGCAGGGTGTTTTACACCCCATGCCAGCTGCTGCCCCCTTCCCAGAAGGGACAATTAAAAGGCCCATTCTTTATCCTGGGATGACAGTGTGAGCTCTGCCTGTGAGGACAGAGAAGGCAGGGAGACCGAGGAACGAGTGACAGTTAGGGACAGAGACAGACAGGCCAAGACCGAGGATGAACCCTGGAGCAGGGAAGATGGGGCCCAGACACAGAAGTCTCAGGGTCACCAAGCTGAAGGAGACTGAGATGGAAATCAAGGTGCTTTCAGCGCAGTTTCAGGTGCAACCATGTGCCAGGCATCACGCTAACATGAGACTCGCGGTGACTCATTTTCACAGCCATCTCAGGTGCCAGGTCCTGATATGATCCCCATTCCACGGACGGTGTAGACACAGACAGACTGAGTAACAAGTGGAGAGGGCACTAGAGTCTGTGCTCATAAAACCTCCCTGGGACTGGGCACGGTGGCACCACCTGTAATCCCAGTGCTCTGGAGGCAGAAGGATCACAAAGCCCTTGGTGTACACTGAGTCCAAGCGATGCTCTAAGGCAGAGAGGGAGAACACACCTAGCAGGACAGAGACAAGAAAGAGGCAGGAACTCAAAGGGCGGGAAGCATAGAGCAAGCCTTGTGCTGGGCAAATGCAGGGTTGTTCACCTGGCTTCAGCTCCTGAGTTCAGGTCTTGGCTGTCCTGTGTGGGGATGTGATCTGTGGGCAGCGGATTCTCAGAGCCTTCCTTGGGCTTATAAGCATTGGGATGGGGGCTGGCCTGCCCTGGGGCCGCTGGACCATTAGAGCCTGAGGGCTGAAAGATTAGAGTCCTGGCCACAGCACCCCTGCCTGTCCTGCTTCTAATCAGATTAGAGCACAGGGAGCAGGGCTCTGGGCTGTGAGGAAAGAGAGGAGTGAGCGTTTTGGCCATGAAAGAAGTGACCACCTCCGTCTGGTCTCTCACCCTCTCTGGCATTCAATTCTGATGCCTCCAATGCACTGCTCTTTGCTACACTGATCCTCTTGTCTCATGGACTTTCTGCTTTGGATTCCATCCTTTCGAAGTTGTATATTAAATCTATATGAAATGAAGCAAATGTACTTGAAATCAAGACAATCTGTGTCTCTGTGTGTGTGGTCCTGGGGATTGACTCCAGCATCGTCTCGTTGAGCTCGATTCTAAAGCATCTGTGAAAATTTTATTCTGAGGCAGAATCATACTACTTCATCAAGTTGCCCACGCTGGGCTCCAACTTGACAGGCTCCTGCCTCAGATTCCCAGAGAGCTGGGCTGACAGGTGTGCAGCACCACAGGCAGTGTATTTTTCTGTCCTAGGCATCTACCAATCCTAGTGTGGCATACCCTGTCCCAATTTCAGCCACACCATATCCCAAATTTTGGAACACCGCAGACATGTTTGTACCTGCCTCAGCTTATGAACTAACTATTCCTTTTGCCTGATATCTCCCTGGGTCATTTTCCTTCTCCTCTAAAGCCATGTGCAAGTGTGCAGGGCTCCCAGGATCAGCCACCCCTCGCACACCCACCCAGCCCCTCCTCAGTTCCATTCAGCTCAACTCAGCCAGCTCAGTGCAGAGTTGGAAGCGAAGCACGCTGTGAAGGATATGACCCTGGTCGTGCAGGCTGAGGGCTCAGGGCCTCAACACTGGCCCAGCCTGGCAGGCTGATCTGAAACCCCCATTGTCACCTGGCCTGCTAACCTGGGAGCCATATCTGTTTGTCCATCCCTGGCCCAGGCATCAGTTAGCTTGGCTTAACAAATTTTGGGAGACTCTGGCTCTTTCTGGTGTATTATTTAGTAAAGAGCAGGTGAAAAGGTACAGCTGAGAGCACAGTCATGAGGTTCAGGGCGAGGCCCCTAAAGTTAAGGTCAGTGACTCTCTGCACAGGCTGGGACTCCCGTCCCCACACAGGTGAGCTAGGCTCGGCCTTTTCCACCCTGGGGACCCAAAATATTTTCTGAGGCACCGTTGTCTGGGCCTGACTAAATCCTGACTCCATCTGCAGCCCTTTCCCCTGAGAGGACGTGGCAGGTGGGGAACCTCAGCCCATCTTGATGTGCTCCCTGAGAGTCTCCTCATCTTTCAAATATGCTCCTGTTGTCACTGCTCTGTATAAGGGCTTGCTTTAGAGATAATGGGACAGTATGGGATGACAGGCACCAGCCTTACCCACAAGCTGTGAGGAGATAAGGAATTTTTTTTCTTATTGTTCACTTTAATTATCTTCTCTTTGTGTTGGATATCCCATGGTCTAGAATATGTGTAGTCAAGGACCTTTATTAACCTACTCCACATTCATTAGGATTTGTCTGCAGTTTTACCCTGGGTCTCAGCTCTATTTTCCTCTCTGGACTCTTCCCTTTGCAGGGCTGTTCTCTGCACCCCTGGTACCTGTTGGTGTGGGCCCTTGCTGTGGTGATGATGGAAATAGAATTAAAACCACAGCATGAATGGATGTGCAAGGGCTTTAGTTATGTGTGAGAGAAGATGGTCAGTGCATTAGCTTGAGGCACTGACAAACATCAAGTGGATCCTCTGATAAGGAGAGTAGGAGCAGCCAGGGCAGAGCCTTCCCCTGGAGAAAGGCCAGTGGCTGCGGGTCTGAAGACCTGGGTCATCCTGGCATATGGGGGTGCTACGTGCTGGGGTCCTGCTGATCCTGATCTCAGTCATGGCTTTTTCAGTCAGGTTGAACGACTGTGACCTGAGGGACAGGTTAATATGCATGAGATGACTGTCTTCTCTTGCGGTGGTCCCAGTCAGAGGAGGCTGTTAACCAAGGTGACCTTAACTTTAGGGGCCTGGAGGTTTTTGCAGTGTAGTTGACATCCTGGAAAATGTCTTATCCTGGTGTCTTAAGCCTTCAAGGAGTATGAGCTAAGTTAGGTAGATTTAGGACTAAGACACCTTGTGTCAGCTTTTTGACAGCTGTGCCCTGACTGAGGGATGTGCCTCTATGCACAGGTGAGAAGGGCATGACTCAGAGTCTCACAGAGCAAAGATCGAGCTTTGCTTCCTTTTTGGGACCCAATGAGCTGCTGGAGGCCCGAGTGAGGACTCATCTATTTTAGAAAAATGCACTTTGAAGTACTCGAGTGTCCCTTAGGAAAACATGTATCATGCTTTTGATGAGTCACAGATTAAGGGCTGAGGGGTATATTTGTCTCTGATCCCTGAGGTCTCCATGTCTCTTGCTTTCTGCTTCCCAAGTATCTCCAAATATCCCCTGGAGTATCTGCTTCTCTCTCTCTCTCTCTTTCTCTGTGAGTAATCTCCTCTGGCAAATCTTGCATTTCACCGATATTCTCTTCAGGTTTTTCCATGTGCCTTTTCACTTTTTGAGAGTTTATACCGGTACTTTTACAAGGACAACATTAATTTTAAATGTAATGTTTTCTCTATTATTTAGATTACCTGTTCATTCCTGAAAGCATCTTGTGAATTCCAGGTCAAATTTGTTCCCACTCCTCTAATTTGCTCCCTTTGTTTTCTTCTCTCACTTTGGCTTTGCCAATCAAAGTGGACACAAAACCGTGCAACTGTGTGTTTTTGATGAATCCTTTATATCCCTTCTTTGCCTTTAACAGTTTCTTATCTTAGCTGTGGTTCATTCTGAATACAACAGTTCCTCTCTTGAGCATTTTAAAGTTCACATCTGCCAATTATTCTGCTCACATGCAGCTCTGATGAGTTTCCTGCTCCTCCATGCACTCGTTTGTGGCTTTCTGGCAGTGTGAACACCTGTATCTGGACTGTGAATGAGTATCTGCCACATATATGTGCTTCTTATTTTGTCCAGAAAGCATGGCTGCCTTGGCCCTGTGGTGCCCTAGGCCAGCTCCATGCGGGCATCCCAGACTGTTCCATGCTGCCTTCACTCTGGCCCCAGGCTCCTCTTCCTGGTGGCAGCACCTGCTCCCTGGAGAGATGCACTGTCCTGACTGATCTCCTTCCTGTTTTGACCTTTTGACCTTGAGGCTCCTGCAACTTTCTCCTGTCATCAAGTTGCGTGATCTTGAACCTAAACTTCAGGGTATATTGCTCAGTGGCATAAGTGTTGCCTGGCGAGCCTGAGGTCATGAGTTTGATTCTCGGTATAAAAAGAAAAAAACAAAATAGAATCTAAACTGCAGGTTCTTCATTCAGGCCACAGACACCAGCTTGGAGTTTTTGGGTCGGTGTTGAGACTTTGACCCCAGGCTCAGAGCCTCAGGCTTTAGACTCCTGATGCCCCAGTCTGGGCTCTAAGCTGCAGCCTCAAAAGCTCCAGCCTCATGACTGCATGCTGTAGGGCACATCTGGAAAACCTCACACTAAGCAGTGAGTGGGGAAGGCTCCTGGGGTCCACATGATGAGGTCAGAACACACTCTGATAGATAGCAACACTCTGGACATGCCTTTCTCTTGATGTCACCTACACCCCTCGAAGACATGTGGACATAGTATTTGATAGGGAGTATCTGTACTGGATGATCATACATTTATATGTATGGAAGTTCTGTGCATAAGCTAATACTGTTATTTAAATCTTCTATAGTCTCATTCTGTTAAAAATTGTCATAACATGCATACTACAGCAGTTGCTACCAGTACTGTTGACTACGTTCACGATGTGGTACAACCATCATCATTGTTCATTTCATGACAGTTTAGTCACCCCTAAAGGAACCCCCATTCAGATCAGTATTTGCACCCCATTCTCCCCTTGTCCCAGTGCCTGGGAATCATGAATCTGCTGTCCCCATGGAGCTGCCTATTCTGCATAGTCCATATCGATGGAATCTACAACATGTGGCTTTTCATGGCTGAATTCTTTCACTTAACATCATATTTTCTTGGTCACTGATCCATGTTCAGTGTTTCATTTCTTTTCATGACTGATTCTGTGTATTCCATTGCACAATGATGTCACAATTTTTGATTTCACTTAGTGGTTTGGTGTGTCGGGTGATTTCAGTGTTACTATGAAAAAGACTCTCATGAACATTACATGTATCTCTTCTATGTATGCCCAGCCTTACAGTATATTCATTATGTATATGGCATATAACTTTGGCTTTTTTCAGATATCCTCGGCAGTGTGATTTCTTGCCAATGGAGACCCAGATCTTCATTATTCCTACGTCAGGTCTTGGAAGACTCATTCTAGGTTGCATCCTAAATGTCTCCACGCCTTGCCGCTCTTATTCAGGTCTTCTTCACCCTTGATACATGCAGGTAGTATCAAGCAGCAATCTAGCTGCCTAGCATCAAGTATTTCCATATAAATGTGCTATTTTCCTACAGCAGTTATTTGCCATGCAAGGAAGCATTAGGAAGGCTGGTAGCCAGGGCAGTAAACGAATTTAGCAGAGACAAGGATTTTGGGAATGTGAAAAGTTTATTGAAGTAATGCAAGAAAGCAATGGCCAAGTTCAAGACAGGAGTATACGTCTGGGGTCTGAGCACAAGACGGGGGTTCGGGTAGGTCACAGCAAGCTTCTCAGGCTGGCTTTCTTTAGGTCTGCATGCACTGTGTCTATCTCAGGGGAGTAGCTGTGTTCTGTCAGTAGTTATACCTTGGAGCAGGCAATATCACTCAGTCTGATATTCTGGTCCTAACTGGAAGTCCTTCAGGCTCCAATTGAGGATCCGTATAACTATGACCTGTGACAAAAAGGCTCAGAGGCTATCAGGAGAAAGTACATGTGGTCTGCATCAAAGGCCTGTTTGTCATTTCCTTCTATGTGGAATTTTGTCTGTGCAGATTTTATGATCCCTTAGTACATGCCAGGTCTCAGACATCTGATGGGCCAAGAGACTGGGTGCATGGTGACTCTACTCTCACTGTAAATTTATTCACTACCTGTCCACTCTCCCTCCATGACACTGAAAACCCTGTTCCCACACTGCACCTCATGGCTATTTCTGTTTCCTATGGCATGCTCCTAACTGCACAGGTGTGTTTGTGGCTCTGTTCTATGCTTTGGGTATATTTGGCATGGCTTGGCTAATATCACCATTTTTTCACAATAAGGTCCTAGGAGAACAGCTCTGCCCGTGTTCCTTTCCTTTCAGAATCTCGGTTAATCATAGTTTGCACTTCTATATACAGTGTAGAAACAGCTTGCCACATTCTTTTAAAGTCCTTCCGGATTTTAGTTTGGGTGCTATTGAACTTATAAATTAATGTTCATTCATAGTTCTACAAATGACTGAGGTTTATCCTTCTTTATGGCAGAGTAGTACTGCATTTCTATAATTACCACATTTTCTTTATCAGTTCAGGTATTGGTAGACATGAAGCCCCCTTCCAAGACTTAGATATTATAATTTGTACTGCTATAGATATGAGTCTGTGTGAGTCATTGTGGTCCGATGTTTTTAACTCTTTCAGGAAGACACCTACAAGT